AAATCCCTAGCACAAACTCTTCAAAAGTTATGGGCAAGGTTAAAGTTTTTTCAACAGTAGTCAAACTCCAAGGTCAAGGTCAAAGTTGTTGGTATCCAAAGAAAGATCTTGTCACAAGGAATACACATGTGAAGGTTGAAAGCACCAACTGTTTATAAGTTATGGCTTATGTTAAAGTTTCATTAAATTTGGCAAAAGTGGGTCAAACTCCAAGGTCAAAAGGTCAAATATGATGGTACCCAAAGAAAGGTCTTGTCACAAGGAATACACATATGAAGTATGAATACCATAGCTCCAACCAATCAAAAGTTATGGGCAAGGTTAAAGTTTTTTCAACAGTAGTCAAACTCCAAGGTTAAGGTCAAAGGGTCAAAGTTGTTGGTATCCAAAGAAAGATCTTGTCACAAGGAATACACATGTGAAGGTTGAAAGCACCAACTGTTTAAAAGTTATGGCTTATGTTAAAGTTTCATTAAATTTTGCAAAAGTGGGTCAAACTCCAAGGTCAAAAGGTCAAATATGATTGTACCCAAAGAAAGGTCTTGTCACAAGGAATACACATATGAAGTATGAATACCATAGCTCCAACCAATCAAAAGTTATGGGCAAGGTTAAAGTTTTGCGGACAGACAGACAGATAGACAGACAAACAGACATACGGACGGACAGGGCAAAAACTATAAGCCCCGAATCTTCGATTACGGCAGCATAAAAATAGCTCATCATTAAACTAATTGCAACAGAAAGTTTCGTAGTACAGTGTATTTTTTCACAGTTAGAAGTCTTCCGAACATGACCCCAAAACTTTGGAGCGTTTCTATTAGAGAAAAGTGAAATATAAAGGTGATAAAAATGCTTTTTATAGACACAAGTGAACACACCAAAATAGCCTTATACATGTACATGGAACACAGATGTTCTACGAGATAAATGAATATATCCTTTTAAATAGTTTTGAAAAAGACATACATGTACTAGATAAACAGAACCTTGCTCTTAAGCGTGTACTTATAAACTTTCGATGATTTAATATTTCTCCTGGAAAATGTACACACTATATTGCACTATACATATGACTTCTATTTTACCAATAAGGGAAACAAGATGTGTTTGTGAAACACTGATGCCCCCGTATGCTTATAGCAAAGGATTAAACTTTCTCAAATGCAAATCAAATATGTTGGTGCCCAAAGTAAGGTCTTGTCTCGAGGAATAAACCTGTGAAATATGAAAGCCCTAGCAGCAAAAGTATGTCAAACATCAAGGTCAAGGTCAAAATTAATGGTGCATGCTCAAGGAAAGGCCTTCTCCCAAAAAATACACAGGTGAAACATGAAAGCCAAAGCACCAATCGCTCAAAAGTTATGACCAAGGTTAAAGTTTTCCAAAAGTAGATCAAACTCCAAGGTCGAAGTCAAAGGGTCAAAGTTGTTGGTATTCAAAGGAAGGTCTTGTCATAAGGATAACATATGTGAAGTATGAAAGCCCTAGCACCAACCGTTCAAAAGTTATGGCCAAGGTTAAAGTTTTTCAAAAGTAGGTCAAACTCCTGGGTCAAGGTCAAAAGGTCAAAGTTGTTGGTATCCAAAGGAAGGTCTTGTCACAAGGATTACACATGTGAAGTATGAAAGCCCTATCTCCCATTGTTCAAAAGTTATGGCGAAGGTTAAAGTTTGGTAAATTTTGCAAAACTGGGTCAAACTCCTAGGTCAAGGTCAAATATGGTGGTACCCAGAGAAAGGTCTTATCACAAAGAATACACATGTAAAATATGAAAGCTTAAGCTCCAACCAATCAAAAGTTATGGGCAAGGTTAAAGTTTTTGCGGACAGACAGACAGACGGACGGACAGGGCAAAAACTATATACCCCCGAATCTTCGATACGGGGGCATAAAAATAAAATACAGTATCTATTATACAATATTTACATCCACTAAATATTAACTGCTTTATTTCGTATGAACACCGCGGTAATTTATCAATTCATAAACACCGCTAACCAGTTTTTCGAGCCACCTTTAGATTTCTCTTTTCAGTATGCTGTTCAATCAATGAAAAATATAATGACGTACATATCAATAATCCAATATTAACCTACTTTAAATGATTATTTATATAGATATAAATATGAACAATAAGATGTCTTTTTTGTCTGTTCGTACGGGAAGCGGGTTGTGTATTTTTTCTGCACCAGCTGCAACTATAATTCCCGGACTAACAACTAAAAATTGAAATGCCAATGGTTCATTCACAGTAAAGCATTTAACTATGCATTAAAATAATTGAAACAGCTAAGAGTGGAAACTGTAGACATTAATTCAGTCTTTTTCAAGATCAGGCTCTGCTGAGTTGTAGAATTTCCATGACATTCACGGCAACTGGAGAGAAATCCAAGCCACTCTTTCTCCAACTTCATATCTTTCAGTTACATGTAGGTTAGTCTTGCATCTGTATTTAACTGTGTTGAGGAGAATAGAAGAAACCACAGAGTGGTAGGTTTTTATAAGACATAGTTTTCCTGATCGTATACCACCTCCAATCACAAGGATTGAGAAATCAACACTCGCATTACGCTGAATGTCAAAATTGGCTACATCTGCAGTTTGTGGCAAACCCTGTACTTAACGGATATAGATCCCGCTGCTACTTAACTGCCAAATTTTCTTACAACATCTAATCCTTCAAATGGCATATCTCCATATATACATGTACAGCACATGACTACAGAGTCGGACTGCAGAATATTTTCATTTGAGGCAAATATGGCGCAAAATGGGTCTAAGCTCTCTTGCATATTACATTTGAGTTTTGTCAATTATGCAGCTGCCTTACCAATTCCAAAAAGCTTTGAAATTGTATCACATCCTGTAAGGACATGAGCAGCTAGAAGCAGACGGTACATTTCCGCCATGAGAATTAGCTTTGTTCTCTGGATGTCTCAAAGTTTTGCCTTTGGTCCCTTCTTCGGTTCTGTTCCCATTAAAATATCATATGAATTCAGGTCTAAATAGTAACTTCTGTATCCCCTGCACAACCATAACTTTTTGTTTTCTTGCAAAATTTATTGCCCTTTCAGGATTGATAAATCTGCATCGTCTTGAGCATGTACTACTTCAAAACCGGCATTTTAGAGTTTCCACCCAATCAGGTCAATAGACTGCTATTTATTCCTGGGATTTGTAAGGAAGTTGTCTTTATTTGATTGACAGGGCATGTCCTCAGTAAAGAAAACTTCTGTGACCAAGATGTTTATGCTGCATCGTAGGTGTGCCTTGTCCTTTGTGCTAAGAATATCTGAATAACTATCAAAGACTTAAACAGCACCAGGATACCTACGGGAACAAAATCAACATATCCGATACAAATATCACTAAAATTCTTTCCTTTCAGCCAGAGAATTCCCTGAAGAAGTGCCCCACCATCAATTACATGTTTACTACAATCTAGAATTTCTTCAGTGACAGCGACAATATGTGCCGATATGTGTACATTCTGCCGTCCATTCTGCAGGACGAAGGCTCGTCTCGGCACATATTGTCGCGGGGCAATATATGCCGATTGAACAGTATGTACAATGACGGTTGGCGCATATTGTCACTGGCAATAATAGGTACAGAACAACAAAATGTACCGTCACACAGTGGGGTAGGTCTTTCAACTAATTTTTCAAGTTGCACATATGGTACCCAAAAAAAAAAAAAAAAAAAAAAAAAAATTTGATAGATTTACAGCTACGTGAAATTCTCAAAAAAATTATAATTTATACTTACCTTTAATTAATCTTTAAAAAATTTAATTATTAATAATTGATTTGTACGATGTTTTGTTTTAAGGACAGGTAACTTAAGTGCGAAAAACGACCAACAAAGTGCCGATTTATGAGTTATCGTTTATAGGATTGACATATAGGCTGTCTCTGTTGGTATTGTTATGTACACAAAAGGGTTCCTTACATTGTGTTGTACACAAAAGGGTTGACCAAAACAAGGAGAATGTCTTCACTCTACCCGAAACAACGATATCAAATGAATGGGGAACGGACTTTATTCAAGATTTTTAACTCTCTCCGACAGATGAATTACGAGAAAGAAAATTTGTCATATTTTTTGTGTGTGCATTGTTGTGCTTCTTACATAAAATATACATTTCTATAAATAAATGCAACAATTAATATAATCTTATTCGTTTTACTAAGCACGAAGAAGAACGACCAAGTATAAAAGTTTAATCACGTTAAAATAAAGAAGGGGGGGGGGGTAGATTTCACTTTATATATTTTTTAAAAAATATTTCACTTAGATATTATTTCACAGCGTCATTATAAATAATTTTAACATTTGTGCGAAATTTTAAAACCACTGGATTCCGCTGTCGGCAAGGGAACACTTGGGAAATGCTGAAAATTGACCTTTCAAAAAAACAATAAGAAACCTCGGACCTGCTGTAAACAAGTTCCGGTAATGAGTTATCGTTCTCTACTTCGAACCCTAGCGACTAGGGCTGTGCAATAATGTCGATATTCCGGTATATTGCGATTCGTTAACAAAAAAATATCGTATTGCGATACGTTTTTCCAGTACCGGTATATCGACAAAATGCTTGGGCTTGTGATTTCTAAAGTAAAATATGAAATTTGATCTTTGATATTTCATCTTACATTAAAGTATACTTTTTTTTACATATCTGAAGCAAAAGGCATTCTACATGCCTTATTCACCTATCTCCCTTCATTGCAAAAACTCAAAGGCTTTTCGAAACATCATAAGGAAACAATAGTGTTGTACACACAGACAGAACAACAGATAGCATGGACAGACAGACCTAAATCAATATCCCCAACAAAAACAGGAGACAATTAAAAAGACTTGGTTGCATCTCAACAAAAATTTACATTTAAATCCCCCAAAGTGTATAATAAATTGGAAGATTTTTAGAGTATAGCAAGTTCTTCAAAAAAAATTTGATATGTTTAGCTCCATAAAACACTCTATAATTGACATTTGTTAAGCATACAGAAATCATTTTATTTTCAGAACATAATCACAGGCCTCAAATCGTGTCAAATTAGATTAACATACACCTAATTGTTCCATTTATCACAAGAAAATAGGTTTCAACTTCCTATCATGCAATTCAAAAAAATGTTTGTTTTCCGTAACATGGTTTGCAGATTTGGTAAGTAGGCTAATTATATATATTATCATCATTTTGATTTAACCCTTCTCTTTATATATCAACTTTAATTTAAAAAAATTATTATCATAAAGGGATTATTCAAATGGGTCAGTCCAGTCACAGAAAACAATCATCTTTGTTTTTCCTCAACAGGAACACAATGTAGACTATTTATGAAGAAATGACCAGATGAAATGTATGCACAACTCACATGTATGAAAGGATGTCACCTGCAAAAGCTTTATCATCAGGACAGTTTGTTATTATACATACCCGGTATATGTTTATGGCCAGCAATTTAGTTTTATCCTCTTTATTTCAGAAAGAATGACATAACTTTCATTTTAAAAACAATATGCCACTACAGGCATGGTTTAAATGCATCATAAATTTCCCTCAAAAAAGAGAAAGAAATAGATGTGGTAGCATTTTTACCTTGAGCACCTTGCAGTGAAGAATTTTTAATAGGTGTTAAAAATCTGTAATACAGTAATTTTCTGCTACATTGTATGACTTGATTAAGACAGAAAACAGATTAAGCAATCCCTATATCTGCCATGTGTTGCAGGCAACACAAAGATGATGTTGCAATGAAGTTGGTCCCTTAGTATCAAGACTTAAACACTCCGACAAGTGCTGGGCGCAAGGTTCTCTCATGCAGTTTATATCCTAATTTTTCAAGAGTGGCAACACTGGAGGCCATTTTAGGGTCTTCTGCTGGAACTTGAAACAATGCCTCATGGAGGTGGGGATCAAACTTCTCCCCTTTCTGGGGAATAATTTGTTCAAGTCCATGCTTCAGGAATACTTTTTGAAGTTGTGCCTCTGTCATCACCAATCCATTAAACAGGTCTTCCAGATGCTTATTCTTCTTCAATTCTTCCTCTGGTATGCTTTGTGTTGCCTGTTGTAAGATGTCAGCCACTTCCAAAAGATCTTTGCAGAATCCTTGAATTCCGAAAAGTTTAGTGTCAGTGACTTGCTTTGACATACGCTGTCTAACATTCTCGGTCTCTGCAAGAGCCCTCATGTATTTGTCCTGCAAAGAAATTTAATCAATCATTAAGAATTTCAAAATTGAAGATATACTTCTGCCTAGTAAATTCAAAAACACATTGTTATTTTTTGCAAACTTTATGGGTCTTAATTAAACCTGCAATTTTGAACCACAAAACCCACAGATAATCAGAAGCAGTGAAAGGTCAGACAAGTATTTCTGATCAACAAGCAATTTTCTTTGGTTGATTCAATAAAATCAATAGTCTCTGTTCAGTTCCAGCTGAGGTAGCTCATCACATATCTTTCATCTTGAATTACAAAACATGACTTATCTGGTAGCGACATCATTTCAGGACTTAGACAGAATATTTGGATTTCACAGCTTTTGAATTAATTTACTTCCTTAAGCATCTTTTACTGCTACAGTGTCTGTTATGTCATGTTTACGTCGTCTGGGATGTTTTTCATCTGCCCCAGACAATTTTTAGGGGGAAAAGTACACCCTGGCATCCTGTGAAATGTTTAATGTATCTAACAATCATACCCCAATCTTTTAACTTAGACATGACAAGAGTGAATTAAGTCATAATGCTAGTACATAACACCTTGCATGTTCAGACTCGTCATCATCTCCCGTTTTTTCTCTTTCATTCTTGATCATTTCGTGGGCGTATAAGATAATACCACAGCATATTAAAGTATGATCAAATACTCAAAATAATCTTTCACATGCAGTACTCATTAAATGGTAAAGTCTAACCAGACTAATTTTAAATAATTGTCTTTAACAAACCATTTTTTTTGTAATTTACACAATATATACACGTTTGTTTCTGTTTAGATGGCATGCATGATGCTTTAATTCCAGTAAGACTGCATGGTGTATAATATAACTAGAGGCTCGTTGACCACAATGCTCACCCAAATCACCTTGGCTATACTGTTCTTCAAATTTGTAGAAGATTTTTATACCCGCACTTTCTAAAGAAAGTTTGGGTATATTGTTACTCATGTCTGTCCGTCCGTCCGTCTGTCACACTTTTCTTTCTCAAACTCCTCTTACATTTTACACAGTAGCCTAATCATTTTTTGGGAGATGGTTGGTGGTGTCATGCAGATGTGCAGTAAGGTTTCGGAATTTTCATTTTCACCCTGGGGGTCAAATGGGGGTCAAAAAATGACGTTTTTTATGCAAAAAGCCCCTGGTTCCCAGAACTCCTCTTACATTTTACACAGTAGCCTAATCATTTTTTGGGAGATGGTTGGTGGTGTCATGCAGATGTGCAGTAAGGTTTCGGAATTTTCATTTTCACCCTGGGGGTCAAATGGGTCGAAAAATGACGTTTTTTATGCAAAGAGCCCCTGGTTCCCTGAACTCCTCTTACATTTTACACAGTAGCCTAATCATCTTTTGGGAGGTAGTTGGTGGTGTCATGTAAATGTGCAGTAAGGTTTCGGAATTTTCATTTTCACCCTAGGGGTCAAATGGGGGTTGAAAAATGACGTTTTTTAATGCAAAAAGCCCCTGGTTCCCTGAACTCCTCTTACATTTTACACAGTAGCCTAATCATCTTTTGGGAGATGGTTGATGTTGTCCTGTAGATGTGCAGTTGAGGTCAAAATGTTGATTCAGTTGAAAAGCTTATATCAGTATGTATTTACTATTAGCATATGAAGTTTGATAAAAATATCATCAATGGTTTACTGTGGATTCCTTAATATACGCGAGGAATTAATTATCGCGTAATTACTCGAGAAGCACCACTCGCGAAATAAAATTACTCGCTTTTATTTTTATGGTGATTAAATCAATGTAAAATCTCTTCATCAAACGTCCACTCGCGAATTATTGTTCTAGCGATTTGATGTCAAAGAGTCATTTCGCGAATACAAGTACTCGCGAAAATAAGGAATCTACAGTATTTAAAACATTAATTTAAAAAAAGTGAGGTCAAGGTCAAAGGAAAAGTCAAAGTCAAAAAAGTTAATGCAATTGATAGCTCTCAGCAGTATATATCAGCATATGAAGTTTGATAAATATATCTTGAATTGTTTATTGAAAACTGATCTAGACACTAATTTAAGAAAAGTGAGGTCAAGGTCAAAGGAAAGGTCAAGGTCAAAAAGGTTGATGCAGTTGAAAAGCTTACATCAGAATGTATCCGCTATGAAGTTTGATTGAAGTCGGTCATGACAAACACTATATGCCTCGGCCATGGCAGGGCATAAAAAACTTGAATCCACACTATATGAGGATGTTTCCATATCAAAATTACTAACAAGCAAATTCAAAGAATTGTGGTCCCCTGCTTTCCATGTCCTAGTGGATGGGATGCCATTATTTATGACATATTGTTTCAAATATGCACACCCTATCATATGTCATTCAAAAGTAATCACCAAAGTTAAAATTTTGAAAATTAGGTAAAACATCAAGGTCAAGGGGTAAAAAATCATAGCATGCTCAGAAACATATTGTTACAGGTAATGTACATGTCAAATATGAAAGTCCTATCTCTTCTCAATCAAAAGTTATAAGGAAATATAACATTTTTGAAAAGTATATTAAACTTCAAGGTCAATGTCTGACACAGTGTCAAAAGTCATGATATATTTAGAAAAGTCTTGTCACAGGTTATATCACGTATAATATGAATGCCCTATCTTTTCTATTTCAAAATGATCAATTTAAAATAATGTTAAATTTTTTGAAAAGTAGCTCAAACTTCAAGGTCAAGGTCATGGGTTCAAAAATCATAGTATGTTTAGGAAGTTCTTGTAAGTAATGTACATGTGAAATATGAAAGCCCCATCTCTTATCATTCAAAAGTTGTGACCAAGGTTAAATTAATTGTGACAGATGGACAGACTGACAAATGGACAGGCTGACAGACAAATGAGATTTAATGTCCCCTAGGTTTTGCGAAAATGGATGACAATAATGCCCTTGCTGTTCTTGAGAAGAAGATTTATGATGGAAAAAATCCCCTGCATTTTTCTATGTTAATCATTGGATCCCCATATGTCGCCCCACCCTACCCCAGTGGGTCATAATTTGAACAAATTTGAATCTACACTAAGTCCATGTAAAGAAAGTTTCAACTTTTTGGGCCCAGTCAGTGGTTCTTGATAACACTCTTTTAAATGATACCACCAAATTTTCACTAATTCTTGATTCCCCCCTTGAAAGAGGGTGTGACCCTTCTTTTGAACAAACTTGAATCCCCTTTACCCGAAGATGCTTTGTGGCAAGGTTGGTTGAAGTTGGCCCAGTGGTTCTAGTGAAGAAGACAAAAATGTGAAAAGTTTACATGCGGACAGATCGATGACAAAATGTGATCATAAAACCAGAAAAACTCAAGTGAACTTAAAACTTATGATCACAAGTACTTGGAAAGAGTTACAGTATTTGAAAAGCAGTTTTTTTCATGCATTGTTTTCAGAAGCTGAAAATGTATGACTTGTATCCATGTTGAAAAAACTGCACATTTCAGAAAACAGTATGATTAAAAATAGTTAATCAAGGTGCTTTGAGTAGCAAAATAAGCTAAACTGGTATAGCTAATTCAACCACAGAGCTTAGTCAATTTTAAGATGCACAACCTTTTCAACGCTTAATCATTCTTAAAATATTTATAAATATCATTCATTTCTGATTCAAGGGAGAACTAGAGATATGAATACATGTATATCCGTTGACTAATAAACATGTACATGTATATTGTGTTTTTGAAGTCATTAATGTTTGTTTGTTGTTAAATGTCCCTCTCAGGAATTTTTACTCAAATGGAGTGTCACCACTTAAAAATAATGAAGACGTATAAGTCGGATTTGAGGTTAACATTCATTTTAGGAGTTTTCAACAATTAAGACGTAAAGAGATAACTCCGTCCCCTTGCCCCTTCCCCTTCCCAGACCCCTGTTTGTTCATGTAGCTAATACTTTGTTTTGACATAAAAAATGTGAATATATACAAATAGTTTAATGGTCCATCTCATTGAATGATTTTCATTCCTAATTCTAGGAGGGTACATAGGTTGACCCAAATTCATGAATGAAATGTCAAGCAATCTTATCATTGAGGCACTTTTATTTAATTTGATGTAGTCATATTGTGAACATTTCCAGTTCATTAAGAGAGTGGGGATGACCTCCAGGGGTTCATAACCTTAAACCATTAGATGTACATAACATAATAACACAAGAAACAAAATTTATGTGTAGTCAAATGGAAAAGTTTTCTACTATTTTGGAGTCACATGATCATTTGTCATTTCAGGGACAGGAAGCGGCTAGGGAGATTGGAACCTCCCCCCCCCCCACCCCCCAGGAATTTGCAGAGTCATTTAAATAGGACTATATACTGATTTACAGAAGCAAATAAAAATGCAAGCCCAATGTGATGTAGAAATTTTCAAAAAGGTGTTCACATACATGTACAGTACAAGAACAAATTTTAAATTATCATAACAAATGATGTTTTAACGTAGCTTTGCCATCTAGGCATATTTCCAAAAACAGGCAATTTGTGTGTGTGTGTTGGGGGGGGGGGGAGACAAAATTGATTGGGTATGGCTTTTCAAGGAGGTTTTTGCCTAATCAAATACTAAAAAAAAGTTGGCACATTTTGAGAAATTCATCAAAACGCTTTTACTAAAATAATATTATTTGTTGTTGAGAAAATAAATTAAAAAAGTTCCAATTATGGGCCAAAAATTTATGTCCCCCCTTTTATCAAAACCTAATTTACATCATTAATTAAATTCTGTTATTTCAGACTGGTAATGAATTAATTAAAGGAAATACCAATAAGAGGCTCATAGATCACATGATCACCTGAGCATTTTATGCTCGAATCGACGAATACATGTACATGTACTGTGTAAAGAACTACGCACGCTAACTTTCGATTCCCGCCTACATTTTACACCCAATTAAATCAATACTAATGGCAATTTGACCATGAAATCTTTGTTGAGTGTAAAGAACAGTTCAATGGTAATTGACTGATAATTTTAATGCCAGTGTTAAATAGTTAAC